TCAGATTCTTATCTGGGCCTCATCTCTCACTCACAGAGACACGGATCGAGCTCCGTACACAGTGCAACAGAGAGCACGTCCCTCCAGATTATACTGGACTTATATTTATTAAAGAGGACTGATTGATGATCTTGATAGAAGGTTGCTATCCTCTAGGTACAGTGTTCATACGAACGTTTTATGAAAAATTCACGTTCACGAACTCTCACACGTGGCTGCTCACAGAGCAACATTTTGCATGTATTTTGAAAACGGTTTCCGTGTTTTCTCTCTCACACGATTTTCATATTCTCCTAGACTCCAAAGCTCTTTCTTTTGGGAGATTCCCCTGTTTGCATTGCACAGCTCCAAGGAACACCGTTCACATTGCAATTTCTATGGCAGGCGACTTAAATCTCTACGTGCCTGTGTTTGTTAACCCCTCCTTCACTGCTTTAACTATTTCCTTTTTTCTCGGTGCTTCCCTAGCCTTTGGTTTTGACAAAGAATTTAATAAATGGCGCAGTGTAGTGAGAAGCCATGTGGATTAAAGTACTGTGATGGGTATTTGTTGTTTGCTGCCCGGCATCCATTATCCCTTCCTCCTGACATTACTCTGTTTCCTTCAAGGAACTTCAAATTGCCTTGACTTTCACCCAGGTGACCCCTTACCCCAGGGGCGGGATCTGACGGTGATCGGTGTACTCCAATTAGCATATTCTTTTCCCCAGATCCCAATGATCCATTCAGGGATGGATGTATAACCCAATCAAAGATAGTTTGACAGAAGGGATATCTGTTAGGACTTCTCCCACTTCTGTTTAAGCCACCAGAAATAATTCACCCTTTCTGGCTGCATGTTAAAAAGGCTGTGAATGAAGTAGTAAATCCCTATCCTCCAAGAGCATACGTTCCAGCAGCAGGAAACAGGCAGTAAACAGGTTGGATGGAATGGTGTTCAGGAACAAGGAGAAAAATTAAAAAGGTAAGGAAAAGTGGTTAGAGAGGTAATGGGAGGCAAGATCTGCATAGAACTCTGTAGACCGTTATCAAGACTTTAGCTTTGACTCGGAGTGAGATGAGAAACCACTGGGGGTTTTAGGAAGAGCAGTCACATGATATGACATAAATTATAACAGGACATTCTGGCCTCTGTGTTGAAAGGGGAAAAGAATGGAGGTGGGGAGATCAGTTATGACAGCTACGAGGCTGTAGTTTATTGAAATATTGGTTCCAATTCTTCACTCCTCAATAGAATTAAATCTAGAGAGAGAGGGAAGCATATCTATAAAGAAATTGTGAGTGCAGCTTTTGACACATGGAGCTGACTAGAGTCAAACACACAGAAAACCCACAAAGTTTCTTGGAAAAGTTTATTGGCAAAGCATTGCCAACAACTAAAAGAGGCTGAGGGTGTGCAAGATGTAAACATCTTTGTACTCTCGGTTTTCTACGGACAGGAATCAGGTTGAGACACATCCACCCAAAAGGGTAATTTTCCAATGCCCTTTCCAAGGAAATATGTATGGAAGATGATGGAAAAAGAATGATTGCCTAGATTGTAGAAAAAAGAGCTATGGAGACTAGTCATTCTTAGGGAGCAGAACCAGCACTTAATCATGAAACATTATCTCCCCTCCCCAAATAGAGGAACCTGAGGACCTTTGCTCAGTGGGATTTTATAATTGGTTTGGACCAGTGACTGCTATTTGCTTCCATTATTCTCCTTTATAAATGAGAGTACTTTTTAGTGGTTATGTTATCCCTGTCCATTAGTTGTGGTATGTTGGGCGTATGAGAAGACACGTGCTTTTTTTTCTTTTTCTGGCCATGCCACACAGCTTGTAGGATCTTAGTTTCCTGACCAGGGATCGAACCCATGCCCTCGGCAATGAAACCACTGGACTGCCAGAGAATTCCCAAGACACTTGCTCTTTTAATTCATAGGTCTCTACATCAAGAAGAGCCATATCAGGACCTGATGTGGATCCTGGACTTCAAGGATTTGATGGATCTTTTAGGGGCCGTGGGATAGGAATGAATGTATTTTGCATGTCAAAAGGACGTGAATATTTATAACCAAGAGTGCAGACTGTGGTAGATTGAGTTATTGGTTCCTCACAACTCTTCACTACCTCTTCCTAGTAGTACTATGCATACACGAGGCCTTTGCCACGGTTGCATGGTAAGCAGTGTATTTCCTCACCTCTTGACTTTGGGCTCGGTCACATGACTTTGTTTGGTCAATGGGATGTTAGTGGAAGTGTTAGGAGCAAAAGCTTGAAATATTCTCCTATGTTGGCTTTTCCTGCTTGTGCTTCTGTGACCACCACGAAAAGAGCATGCCCCGGGTAGCATTTTCAGCGTGGTCTCTGAATAGGACACATGAAGCAAAGGGACTGCAATTGACTCTTGGGCTCACAGCTTGAAGCAGACCTTCCCCAGCTAACCCACAAACCCTTAGCTTAGAGCAGACCTGAATCTACTCTCAAGCTTGAAGTCCAGCGCAGCTCAGCTAAAGTCTACACGGATCTACAGGTCCATGAGAAAAAATAATTGTTTTAGATCATTGAATTTGGAATGGGTTGTGCAGCATTAGTGTGGCAATGACCAATATAGAGGTAATTGCAGTAATTCATGAGAGAGCTGATGGGAGCGAGGACCAGGGTGGTAACAACAGAAGTGGTCAGATTCTGGGTATATTTTAGCGACTGAGTCCACAGGTTTTGCTGATAGATTGTAAACGGGGTGTGAGAGAAGGAGATGAGTTGGGGATGAATTCTAGGTTTCTGGCTTGAGCAAGCAGAAGACTGGAATGGCCATTTTTCAGAGATGGGAAAAACTGAGAGAATTGAAGATTTGAGGGGTATTATCAGGAGCACAAACATGCTACTGGACATGTTGTTTGAGTTGCATATAAACATCCAAATAGGGATGTGCAGTACGCAGTTGATTATACAAGTTTGGAGCTGGAGTGGAGAAAGGTCCAATATATGCAGGTGCACATCTGGGAGTGATCAGTATGCAGGTGGCTTTTAAAGCCGAGACTGGATGAGATCCACAGGTAAGTATGATCACTTGAAAAGGGGTCCAAGGACTGAGCCTCGGGGCATTTTAGTATTTGGTGGTTGAGGAGTTGAAGGATTAGCAGCAAAGGAGATTGAGAAGGAGCAGCCAGAGAGATAAGAGGAAAATCAGACACATGCAAATAAAGTATTAATTCATATGTATGGTCCTAAGACACCACAACCATTCCTCTTCTACATTCTCCTCTTTCTTTTCCTTCTCCACCAAAAATATCACCATCCCTAGATTTGTGTGTGTGTGTGTATGTGTGTGTGTGTGTGTGTGTGTGTGTGTATACTGACTATATGGAAGGCACAGTTTTAATCACTTCACATGTATGTTAGAATTATTGAAAAAGTTAACTGGTATCTTTTTTTGCCCCACTATATATTCACTGGGAAAAAACCTTTTTCTCTTCTGGTCTTCTCTCCAGGACAGGGAAGTCAAGTCTTTGCCTAATTTGGAGTCCCCTTGATAATCTTCCAAGCAGGATGAATTTGTTTGGGGTGGAAAGTGGTTGGATTGGAATAGGTGCTTTGAATGGAATGAGGGAATGAAGAGCTAGAATCCTGGAAGACAGTTAAATTTTTTCTCTCTAAGCCTGGGAGAAGGGGGTTAAGGATGGGTGGAAAGGGTCCATTGGGTATTAGAGACTTGTGTTTAGCTAGCACATAGCTCTCTATTGGCAGTAAGACCTTGGAAGAGGGATGGCTGCCTGGAGGTGAGTGGAGATCAGAGGATGAATGTCACAACCTGGAAATCATTGGCATAAGTCGTCTGTATTTGGGTGGAGAAGATCACTTGGGTGAACTTCTGTTGTAGAGCCTAATAAAGGCTCTGATAGGAAAGGGCAATCGGGTAACTCAAATGGGGTACCTTTCTGCTTTGCAAAAAGAGAATGTCTGAGCTTAAGACAAGGATCTCAGTGTATGCAGTTGATGTGCATAACATACGGCTGGTTTTAGAAGCTCTTCAAGTCTGAGCCGCCCAAGCATGTTATTGAGCTTTGGGGAATAATGGCTGTGTGACTATGAACTAAGAGAGGTCTCACCCTAGAACCAAAGCCTGGGACATCCACTGTGGTGCAGACAGGAATATTAACCAGCCAGGACATTACCTCAGTCTGCTGCTCATAGACGGCAACAACATTAGTTAAATGTTAAGACTCCACTTTCTCTCCATTTTGTTTTGGGAAGGGAACTGCATCTTTTGGTCTAAGACATGAACCCTGCAGTTTCTTGGATATTCTAGGGAGGGGAAGCCTCAAAAAGGGAAAACTGAACTTTCTAAAAATAAGGCACCAGCAGCTTGAATGGTTCATTGAAAAAAAAAAAAAAAAGACATAGGCTCCTGAGTTTGTGAAATAGGTATTATCATTTACACATTAAAGAAACTTGGGAAGTTTTAGCTAAAGAAGAGAGCATTTATGATGTTATGATAACTTTTGTTTTTTTGCAAATGTTATGCATTAGTCTTATTCTGTGTGGTTCTGGAGAGCAAGACAATAAAAAAAAAAAAAAGAAAACTGTCAAGAGCTGCACGAGTGTAAGAGCGGATATTTACTACTAAATCCCAGCACGTGAATTGTGCGCAATGCATTTTTTTCAATAAAAGATTGCATACGTGACAAATGAAAACCAATGGGTGAAACTTACAGGGAGACAGATTTTTGACTCAACTTATCTTCTAATAATTTGAGTTATTCAAAAACTAAATGGACTATCCTTGAAAAGCAGTGGAATTCTCGACTACTGGGAGTGAAAGAGGAGCCAAAGGACTATTTTTCAGGGATGTGATAGAGAGGAGTTATTCATTAGATAATGGTTAAATCACACAGCCTCTGAGATCTCTGAAAACTCAGATACTCCAGCTTTGTAACTCTAAATCCAAGGGTCTCTAGACACAGACTTGGGAGAAGTATAAATAAGACTCATGATCTCAGAGAAGTCTTCAAGAGGCATGCGTTCAATGGCATGTTTATTAAACACATGCTCGCGACAGATTTTCACAACAGCAACAAATGTTATTTCACTACCTCAAATCTCACTTATTAAGAAAAAAAATAAGACAGTCACAACAAGGTTGATGGATTTGGATTTTTTCGTGTTTTCTGGGGGGTAAAGCCAGTCTCCTCACTCGTTTTCCTCTGTTTTTTCTTGAAGATCACTCGATTTCATTTTCTTTACCTTCTCTCTGGCTAAGTGTCCCCGGAAGGCTGCTTGGATTTTGAGAGCAGCATTTTCCTCCATGTCCTTGTCTTTTTCAGAAGATTCATTCTCAGAGAGGAGAAAAAGTAAAAGACTTCTTAAGCATCTCGTATTTTGATGCTATAAAAATAAGTGTATAAACTTAATCAACTTAGGGATGTAACAATTGAGATGGGTTGCTTCCTGAAGGAATTTTATATATCATCACGTTGTATATGTACCAAATGGTGAATGCCAAAATATCAGACATCTTGTTTTGTCACTCTTTGATATGTCTCTGCAATGAAAGATCATTGCCAACTTCTTCCCCGCAAAACAGTTCCTATTCAACAGCTTCCTATTTAACATTTTTTTGGGGAAAATAAGTGGGAATCCTTGAAGCAGGGTAAAAATGCCAAGAAGGGGCTTCCCTGGTGGCGCAGTGGTTGAGAGTCCGCCTGCCGATGCAGGGGACACGGGTTTGTGCCCGAGTCCGGGCAGATCCCACATGCCGCGGAGCGGCTGGACCCATGAGCCATGGCCGCTGAGCCTGCGCGTCCGGAGCCTGTGCTCCGCAATGGGAGAGGCCACAACAGTGAGAGGCCTGCGTACCGCAAAAAAAAAAAAAAAAAAAAAAAAAATGCTAAGAAGAATAGTAAATGTGCTGTTTCAAAATAATCATGATTACACAAAATGGATTATTTTTAATTTCTCAATGATTAGCTAATTAAAATCATACATTTAAAGTGAAATGCCAAAGAGGAATCCATTTAGTCCAATAAAATCAGTTTTAAGATGGTCGGTTGAATTTTTGTACACAGCTTCCTTTTTAAAAAACATTTAGGTATAATTTACAGATAGTGAAATGCACAGATCTTAAGTGTACAGGTCAATAGATATATAGCTTTTAATATATTTTTTAAATTAAAAAAGTGATACATATACATTTAAAAACTTAAATACCACTGGTAGTGGAAGTTTTCTCCATCTTCCCAAATCCTATACCTAAAAGGTAACCCATCATTATGGATTGAGTATATATATCCTTCTAAAACTTCTCTATATACAAATGTATTCATATGGGTATATATTTGCCTTTTTATTAAAAACATGAGATTATGCTGATCACAATGTCCTGCAGCTACTTTTCCCAGGTAACAATGTATCTTGGTTCCCTTTTTCCTTTTTTTTATGTTATTCAGTATATAATTCTGCCTATTCCTTTTTTTTTTTTTTATGATACCATTGTAGTCCATTGTACTGATATATTTTGATTTATTTGCTCATTCTCCTACTAATGGACCTTTGGGTTGTTCAACCACCCCCTCCCCCCATGACAAAGAGGCAAATCTATCTCTTAAACTTTATTTTTATTTATTTATTTATTTATTTTTTGCGGTACGCGGGCCTCTCACTGTTGTGGCCTCTCCCGTTGCAGAGCATAGGCTCCGGACGCGCAGGCTCAGCGGCCATGGCTCACGGGCCCAGCCGCTCCGCGGCATGTGGGATCTTCCCGGACCGGGGCACGAACCCGCGTCCCCTGCATCGGCAGGCGGACTCTCAACCACTGTGCCACCAGGGAAGCCCCTAGCTCTTAAACTTTAATATGCAAACAGATTGGTATAAAATCCTCCGAGATGATGCCCTAATGTGGGCAAATGAATTATGCTGAAGTTGGAAATCAATGGGCTCTCAATTCAAAATCATAAAAACCTGTGTAAGGGCACCTATTAAAGATGTAAGGAAATGACACTACCTTCCTTCTTTCCTGACCTCCCACTGCATCTTATGCTAATGTTAGGCTGAGTTGCACTGATATAACTCTGAGATGACTTATAAAGGTTATAAGGTAAACTTATGACTCACTGGGTAGGAAGTAAGGTATTCCTGGAGGGGGATTGCCCTTTTTGGGTGTCAATTATTGGGTAACTAACTGGGACATTAATACATGAAAAGAAACTCAGAAGTTTGGCCTTCAACACTGTAGACTGTGAGTTCTTCTTTCTCACTAGGCTTGGTCCTCTTGAATCTGGACTATGAAGCATATAGGCAGTGACATGTTGGTAAACGTTTAAAAACTGGCTCTCCAGAAAAAAAAATTGGTCCTGATTTGTAGTATTTATCATGATCTTAATACTCCCACTGTGGCTGATTTCAAGCTATCAAAGTGATATTATTGAACATGGGGTTGTGTACATATGTGCACGACTGTCTCTTAAGAGCTGGCTTTAGCACACCACTGAATACAGGCATCTTTGAGAGTGGACCGAGCCTAACCCACTGTTGCTTGGATGTAGGCTGTCAGGCAGGAAGTCATTTTTGTAGAGCGAAATGCATGGAAGATGAGTAGGACTCATTGTGTGAAGCCATTTTATTTGGCTGTATGCAATTCCCCATGAGCTTCCTTTTGTTATGTCTGAACCTTTACCACTGTGTGGTGATGACAGCATCAATTAGTGAAAAGTTCCTGAAGTGGAAGTTGAATCTGAAGGATGAAGACTGAGGCTGTATACCCTGAGAAAACCATAATTCAAAAAGACACATGCACCCCCAATATTCACTGCAGCACTATTTACAATAGCCAGGACATGAAAGCAACCTAAATGTCCATTGACAGATGAATGGATAAAGAAGATGTGGTACATATATACAATGGAATATTGCTCAGCCATAAAAAGGAACAAAATTGGGTCATTTGTAGAGACGTGGATGTACCTAGAGACTGTCATACAGAGTGAAGTAAGACAGAAAGAGAAAAACCAATATTGTATATTAACACATACATGTGGAATCAAGAAAAATGGTACAGATGAACCTATTTGCAAAGCAGAAATAGAGACACAGACGTGGAGAACAAATGTATGGACACCAGTGGGGGGAAGGGGTGGGATGAATTGGGAGATTGGGATTGACATATATATACCGCTGTGTATAAAATAGATAACTAATGAGAACCTGCTGTATAGCACAGGGAACTCTACTCAATGCTCTGTGGTGACCTAAATGGGATGGAAATCCAAAAAAGAGGGGCTATGTGTATACGCATAGCTGATTCACTTCACTGTACAGCAGAAACTAACACAACATTGTAAAGCAACTATGCCTCAATAAAAAAATTTTAAAAAAAGACTGAGGCTGTGATTTTTGTCTGTTCTTCCCCTTGGGGAGATTTTCCCATCCATAGTCTTCTTCCATAATCTTGGAAAATAAGATTTTATTTTTAAGGGGAAGAATGAGTTTTCCTTTATAAGAGGCATGGCTAAAACTGATCCACCAGTTAGTATATCACTGGTGCTAGTTATCTAAAAAGCAAAATCATGATTTTAGCAATATGGATAACAGACTGGATTCATATTTGGAGGATAATTTTAAATTGAGGGATGTCATTCTTTGTAGGAATCCAATAGTACATGGAAAATACAACTTACTAAGGCTGTCACCTCTTTCATAGATGTCTGAGACTTTTCTTTTCCAGGCTCACATTTCTCCAGTGGTTCTTGCTCCTAGAGGGGAGAGGGCCAAATAGACAATATTTCCAAAACAGTAAAGTCTTGGATCAAACTGCTTAAAGGTAATTTAATATTACTTTAAGTTATTGATAAGTGGTGGGAATTAAACATATTTTTTAACAAGGAAAGTAGGTTGGGAAAAGGGATAAAAGAAAACTCTCAAGGGAATATGCATAAACAAATATTAAAGACCAAGGAATTGGTTAAAAAAAGTTTGATCTTTTGTTTTTGGAATGTGTATAATATTGTTTTATATTAAAAACAAACTATTGTCTTATACTAAAAGTTGATATGATGCTGTAATGAATCCTGAACAAGGAATAAAAAAGAGGTGCCAATAGTTTCTCAAACAGGAATGAAATAAATGCTATTATATTCCATAGTATGAGGTCAAGTTGACTTTTTAATGATGTTTGTAGATTAAAAACTGAGTCAAAGAAGTAAGTTTTGCTGTAGGGAAGGATTTAAATAGAAAAAAAGGGAAACCAGCTCCATCTATTTTGACATGGTTACTGAAATATTACTCCAGAATAGAAGCATGGTTAATTCAAAACCTTATGGGAAGAGCTTCTTTAATTCATAAAACATAAATTTAAGCACATATAAGCTAATCAAATAAAGCCTTTAGAATTCAAAAGAGAAGAAAAACCACTCTAAAATTGCTATATGAATAAGTTTTTAAATTTTTCAACATTATTCCTTTGATTTCAATAAAACATGAACACAGAGAATCTAGTTAAATGGAAATAAACAGAACACCCCCATATCTAGCAGGCACAGATGGATGGAACTTCACTTTTGAATTCATGGAATAAGTGACAGGGGGATTTCCTCAGGAAATCCCCAAAATCTACTGTGCAACACCATCAGAATTTGACCTTTGTTAACTCCTTTTAATTCTAATATTTGCTGCTACTTCATGGCTAATGTATTATCATACTTGCTTAGAGTACTGCTTCTCAGACTTTAATGTACCTACAAGTTACTGTGTGGATCTTGTTAAAATTTAACCTCTACCTGGGGTAGAGCCGGAGATTGAATTTCCACCAAGTTGCCAGTTGGAGGCAATGACGCTGGATCACACACAGCCTTTCTCAACCGGTGTTCCTCATTGGGATCATAGAACACAGAATTCTTGAAGTGATTATTTTTCTCAATTTTCCACAGGATGGTACATAAATAGAATCATTCTAGATACAAAGAAGAGACATTGATTCCTTATGTGCAACGGATGCCTTTGGCTTAGGGCTTAATTATTTTGAGGCTTCTTGGTTGAGAAAGACTGGTTCTGAGAATGCTGCTAAAGAGAAGATAGATTCTTTCTCTGAACAGATTGGCTTAATAGTGAAGACTCTATACCATTACCATCTTTAATTCTAATCAGTCTTTTGTAAGACATCAATGATAATGAAATAATTGGACAAACAGCGCTTTATTTTATGAAATATCATCCATTAATTCAACCAATATTTATTGGGTATCTGCTATTGATAAGCACTGTGATACTCAATAACATTGGAACAACAAATGAAAGTAATTATTCTTTCACTTTCAAGTACGTGCTTCCTGTTGATCATCTTTAAATTTAAGCTAAGTACTGTACACGATGCAGATACCTTAGAAAAGAATTTCTTGCCAGAAAGAACAGCACAATCAAAAAGGTTCATAAGATATTTGTGATGCTTCTCACAATATTCATGATTTTGGGAGATCCCAATAATCTCTGTATCGGAGACAGGGAGAAGAATTAACCAAATCCAATAGCTTCACGGGACCATACCTTGAATGCATGGTTGTTATAGAAGCGGTCATCTACCTTAGTCCCCCATTCTGCTGGATCAAAGTTGGTTTCTAAATAACAAAAATATAATAATTTCAGACTTACTTTGAGATCATTAAAGTAAATGTAGACTAGTAACATAAAATGTTTTCTTTTTCAAATTATAGGTCCTTTACTGCCAGTCAAAAATTCTATTGACGCTGTACACAGCCTACTGCTGTAGATATAACCAGTGATTATTAAATATATGATGATGAATTAAACATTAGATGAACCCTTGAGGATATTTAGAAAGGCAGTTAAAAAACCTAATTGCTGCTTTCAGAGTTTACAGTAAAATGGGAGAGACAGAGAACAAATGCTAATACTTAAATATAAGTATAGAAATTTATCGTTATATAATTATGGAAACTTATTATGTATTAGCAAACATGGGGGAAAATGTAACAAAAATAAATGTTAAATAGTAAGGAAGTTTGGAAAAGTGAAGGATGGGAGAAGTTTTTAAAAATTAGGCATATTATGTAGTCAGTTGACATAGAAGTATTTAAACAGAATTTTTCTTTAACTTTTCATTATGAAGAATTTCAGACTTAGAAAGTAGAGAGAATAATAACAAATTTCCATGAGCACATTACTCAGATTCAACAATTATAATCTCATGATTGATCTTATTTTATTTGTAACTTCACTCACTTTCCTGCCCTTCCTTCTGATTTTCAAGCCAATCCCAGGCATCCTACTATCTTATCTACAAATACTTGCTTCAGTATAGTCTCTAAGATATAAAGCCACAATACCATTATCACACCTAAAACTACTAACAATAATTCCTTAATATCATCAACTATCCAAATTTCTCCCATTATCTAATATATTTTTGTTTATTTATTTTTTTACTGCTGATTTGTTCAAATCAGGACCCAAACAACGGGCACACAGAGCCTTTTGTTATGTCTTTTAAATCTCTTATAATTGAAACACTACCTCCCAGCCCACATTTTTTTCCTTGCAATTTATTTGTTGAGGAAATTGAGTCATTTTTCCTTTGGAGTTTTCCACAGTTTAGATATCTGATTTCATTCCCACTATGATTTTTTACCAAGTTCCTCTGCCTTTGAATTTCCTGTAGATTGCTAGTTAGATCTATATGTCTTATCTGATTCAGGTTTGAGGTTTTTTTCCCCAAGGATACTTCATAAGTAGTGCGGTATAATTCTGCCAGGAGATATATAATATCTGGTTGTTTCTCTTTATACAATTCTTATGGGCCCATTGATGATGACTGCTCAGATCATTTCTTTAGGGTTGCAAAATGGCAATGTTCTAATTTGATCATTACTTCTTTATTTCTGGAGTACTCAATAAAAAATACTTTCTCTGTTTGGTTACCCTGAAATACAGTTCTTACATAAAAGGCAGGTTAAACGTTTGATTCTTTTCCTTTATTTACCGGTTTTCAGATTAATCAGTTGGTTCCTTAGGATCCTCTCAAAGAGTTTTCTTGGTTCTTTTTTTTTTAGTAAATAATTATGAACTAATGAATATTTAACAAATTGAACGAATTTCAATCCACTGCATTTATTAATCTTATTGATGCTCTAATTGTCCAAAATTGGCCAGTAGGGGCTTATTCAGGTGCTCAGATGTTCCTGAGTCCTTTGGAAACAACTCATAATCTTTGATAGTTTTCTTATTTTCTGGTATGGCAAGGTGTTGAGGCTCATCTTGCATATTTCCTACCCAGTTTATGGGATTGGTTAGTTCTCCAAGAAGCTCTGGTTCCTGGAAGATGGTAGCTGGAGGCCAAAGTCTAGGGACTAGGTGCTCACTGGTACTGGGTTGGTCATTGTTTTGAGGCCTTTAAAAAATATAGAGAGCTAGAAAGTAATACTTTCACTTTTCAAAGAGAAAATATATCATGAGGTCTGATGATATTTTTCAATTCAAATTTAGAATTACGGGATTTTATCAACTTCTTTCATTTTTATATTTGTATGTCATTTTTCTTACACTAAAAATCCTATTCCTAATAACAGTAGGATAGTTACTTATTTGCTATGTTCTACAATATATAAAAATTACAGAATAACTGTACTATAATATTATTAAATATCATTATTTTCAGTGATGACTGAAAACAATTTAAGATTTCTTTTTAAAACTTCATTTTATTTTTAGGCTATATCCACCAGGAATGCACAAAGTACTGTGTTATAAAGTCTCTTGAAATAATTCTTTTTTGTGCGGTTATGTTACCCATTTAATACTAGTTAGGTTCATTTGTTTCACTTTGCTTCTAAATTTAGAAATTGCTTAACAATTAAAAAATTTAATTCTATTTTATAACTATGTGAAACATATATGATTTTGAATTTAAGATGTATTCAGACAAGTCTAGCTTCTATCCTGTTCCCTCTGCTCTCTGTTCCTTCTTCTGCTAGAGGTAAATGTTTTTTTGCTTTTTCTTTTTAGAGGTAAATGTTAATTTTTTAAAGATTTATTCTTCCATTTAAAAAATATAAATGAACAGTTATGTATTCATATCAACACCTCTTTGTTAGATAATTGGTAGCATACTAAATACATTTTTTCCACCTTACTTTTTTCACTTAATATATCCTGAGGGTCGCTGCATAACATCATAGAGATCTTCCTCGTTCCATTTTCGTTCGTTTGTTTACAGCTATACATTAATCAGTAGTGTAGATGTACTCAAGTTTATTCAAAAAATCCTCTATGATGAATATTTGGGTTGCTTCCTCAAGTAACAATAAATTGTAAAATGATTAAAAATGGAATGTTTATTTGCTTGTGACTATCTCTAGTCATCTTTACTACTCTGTTGGAATACTGTAATCAAAAGTAATGATGACAGCTTAAACAAAATGGTTGTTCTAGTCAGGGTTTTTAATAGAAACTTATAGCTGTAATAATTCTCATTTTGACCAGTGGGTCAGGTCTTGATTGTCATGAACTGTCAAGGCTGGGAATTTGGAAATTTTATTTATGGAAGTGAAGAAACTCTGCTTTAGCTCTCAACCAAAGAGTCACTGTTGGCAGGAATCTTAGTCTCTGGACAGGATGGGACCTTGGAAATATAGAAAAAGAATATAAATTACCTTCCCAAGCTGGAAGTTCACTTTTCAAAGCAGTTTTTCTCTGTGCCTTTATTGAGGAACAGTTTCATATACCCCTGTGAATACCAACTTATTGAATCTAAGGAGTACAGAATTATTTTTTTACAACACTTAATAATACTTTCAAGTAAAAAGAGTCAAAATGTAAAGAAAACCATAAACTCTCCTCCCAAGAAGAATAGACAGTCAACTGCCTGGGAGGCATGGGAACAGCATGTTGGAAAACAGACAGCTACAGTGGGTGCTCTCTTGAGCCCCCTTCCACCCCACGTGTCCATGAGAAATACAAAGAAGAGGGTCTGAGTGATAAACAGTAATCTTCAATAATGTGAAATAATGTGATTTAAGAGAGCCTGTCAAAAAGGCACATGCTGTTTCAAATAGCAAGAACTGTTAGTTGAAGATACCTGCCCCATAAAGGCTTTCTGTGGAATAGGAATGGTCTTAAGCAGGTCTCACCATAATCAAATGCTTAGTCTCTTATTTTTAAAAAAATGCCGATTTTAAAAAAGCTTACTCCCTCTTTTCTCTAGAAGATTTTCAAAATATGCTGCTGCAAAAGCTGGTATATTGTCCGGTTGCTCCCTCAGAATCTCGCGTGTGAGCCCTTCAAGAAGATTCCCAAATCCTTGTGGAATTCGGTAGTGGGTGCTGGAGAATGGAATCGACATCTCCTTGGGAGGAACTGCCTATTGTACCTAGAGATTCATTAAAGAGTACTGTCTTTAAATTTGTCTAATTTTACTTATATAATCACAACTATGACAACAAATTACTTCTGAGACTCCAAATTTCTGGACTTCAGTCCTTTTTTCCCCCAACACAGCTCAAGTCCATCCATTTCTTCCAAAGAGTTTTGAATTTTTCCATTATTAGAATATTAAAAATATTTAATAGGTGAAATTATTTTTTAAAAATAATTTCCTCCCTCTTTGTCTCTAAAATGGTAATTTTTCCTATCCCACAAGAATTTAGAGAGAATGATTGTTAAAAATTCATCTTAAATTGCCGAAAAGACCCTGTTTAAGGTCTAAAATTTAAAAAAGAGAGAAAAAAAAACTAGTCCTTGTTATAGAAATTAATTTGTCGAGTGAATTAAGTTTCACACTTAGTCGTTCCCTTAGCTTCCACTTCTGAAGCATGACCTACAATGCCTCGTTGAAGCATCTGTATACTCTGGAAGGGGCAGTGGGGACAGAGCGGCTGGGGCAAGGTCATGATTTTGCAGTTCCAGCCTGCAAAGTTTGGGGATGCTTACATTTTCTGGTTTTGTCTCGACCCGGTCTTCGCTTCCTGTCTTGGAATACAAGGGTCAGATAAGGATAGCTGCTAAGCAGCGGGATGGGCTACTGAGTCTGCAAACAACACTCAGGGACCTGGCCCGTTTGTGAGAGTATCAATGCCGAATAAGGCCGGAAGCCGTGGTAGGGGTCTAGGTGGGGGACTAGTCGGTTTAATGAGGCCGAATCTATAGAGTTTTTCCTTCTTATTTTGAGGGAACAGGAAATGAGGCATTGAGTCATTCTAGGGTTGTGAAAAGGAAAAGACTCTGAACAAACGTGGGGAGTGGAGGGCGGTCGGAGGGGGAACACAGGTCTAGTCGGGGGCGGCACGGCGAGGATCTGGGATTTCGGACTCGCTGCTTGGCTCCCAGTCTGCCCTAGGCTTCCCGGAATGCGGCGGGGATCCTGAGAGAATACGAGAGGCGAAGGGAAACGGCGAGGTCTCGATTTCCGAAAGGAAATGCGGTAAACCGCCTCACCTCTTAGGTCTCTCAGAGCTGGAGCTGATGGTTCAGGTTGTGTTTTCTCGTTGCCGGGAAACCGTGTTTTGTTTTGTTTTTTCCATTCAACTACGGCGGCCGAGGAGAGGCACGGGCCCTCCCGGAGGCCGCGGACAGCTTCGCGGACTGAACGGCCTGGGAAGGGCGGAGTCAGGCCTTTTCCGCCCTGAGCAGGCCCCGCCCACTGCCCCGCCCCCGATGGCGTCCCCGCCCCGAGGCCTTCGCTGTGGTGAGGGCTCCTCACAAACATGGTCGCGCCGGGATTTGTGTTTGGGCTCGTGCTGCCGTTACTCCTAAGGGCCGACGCAAGTGCAGGTGAGGCGGCCGGGCTCGGCCCGACCCCTGCCCGTCCGTCAGCCTGCGCGGGCTCCGAGATACCGCGTCCTCCGCAGGACCGCCCCCCGCGCCCTTCTCTCTAGCTCCGGGAAGGAACTCCGGGTAGGAGCCGGGTTCCACCACCCGGGCCTCGGTTGCGGGTGTCCGCTGGGCAGGAGCCCCGGCCTGTCCGCTTTCTCCACTCCCTTCCATCGCCCCTATGTTGCAGCATGTGGGGCAGCGGGAGAGTTGGGTTTATCTAAGGAGGGGAGGCCCAAATGTGCCCAGACCGAGGCCCTCAGTGTCTGAATAATTGCAGGGGAACTCGAAGGGGAGGGGGCGAAACTAGTTAGATAATATTTGGAAACTGGTGACTGAGTCATCCAAAACATTTCAGTGCAGCCCCCTCAGTGGTGCCCCTGGGGAGGGTTTGCTTCAGGCTGGGTTGCTTGGGGGAATTAAATTTTCCTAGTTTAAGTGGTGATTAGGGCTAAGGCATACAACCCCCTCACTAGCTCAGAGTATGTAAGACTCAGCTTTGATTCCTGCTGCAGCTCGCAGACACTGGTGGTGGGATAATATGCATGGCATTGGGGAGGAGGATGACTCACTTTGACTATTGTCCAGGTCATATCGTGTCATTTGAATACCCCAGACTGGATGCTGGGTCACAGAAAAGAAATGAAAGTTGAGGTGGGAGAACAGAGTGTAGAAAAATGACTGCACTACCTAAGAACCTGCAAAGTACCCAGATGCAGACAAACCGCAGGCCTTAAGTGGTTTTTCAGGGTTTAACAAAAGTGAAAACTAGCAGCAGTTTATATCATTTCCTGAGTCATCCCCACTCAGTGACCTTTGAGTCCAGTATATGAGGTGGGGAGAAGGGAAAGAAGAGAATAGGGCCCTTATTCTATTAATTTTTCTGTTAAAGGCTGTTAACTTTAACATCACTATTTTATCTTTGCCTTTGGGTCATATTGTTACATCACCTTCATTAACAATGACTTTATTTTTTAATTTATTAATGCTCTAAATTTTCTTCCCTTATTTGGTTGCATATCCTGACTTCTTTCCTTCAAATCATTCCCCCTGTGCTCATGTTTATCACGTAATAGTTGAAATGTGCAAACATGTATGTAGCAATGATAAAATGAACACCCAGAGGCGCTTCACCCAGCTTAAGAACTAGAACGTTGCCAGTTTTATTGAGACTCCATGGATATTCCTCCCTAGTGCATCCACCAGTTCCTCACCAGAGGTAACCACTGTCCTAATTTTGTCAGTCTACTTTTAACTTCCCAGAACACTAATTCCTGTTTTTCTACTCCAACACCCAAAGGAAACATTGAAGACCTAAAAAAAAATCAAATGTTGTGTCTTTTATTTGACAAAAACAATTACCAGTCCCACCTCCTTTCTTGTTCTCCTGTTTTGTCCATTGCTCAATTCCTTGGTAATGTTCCACTGTCTATTCTTATCAGCTTGGAATGTGAGCTTTATAAGAACAGGGAATATGACTTGTCTGTGATTTACCACCAGGATCTAACTGTGGCAGAGTGGAAATTGCAGTGACTTTGGAATCAGGTGGCTTGATTTCTTGTCCTGTCTTAAACTACCTATGTGATTTGAGGCCAAAGAAGTTTAACATCTGTACTGTGTTTAGCTTTCTGCCTGACACAGTTACTCTTCCCAGTAGAATGTAAGCTCCCTGCTGGCAAGGATTTTTGCCTGCTTTTTTTTTCTTTCTTTCACTGTTACATCCTCAATGCTTAAAATCGTGCCTGGCACACAGTAGGCATCTTTAAGTGTTTGTTGAATGAATTAATGCGCAAGCTATTTTAAAAAATTACCTAATCTACTTGGGTCTCAGTCTGTTGATCAGTAAATAACGTGATTATACCCCAGGGTGTAAAAGATTCTTTCCACCTCTAAAATTCTTTAACTCAGAATAGAGCCATGCACAAAGAGGTTCGGTGAATGTGTGTTGTCGAAAACAGACTGACTGGGAAAAGTATTTTCCCCAACATTTGAGAAGGTGGCTGCACACCTCCAGAGCCCCTTATTCGCCTGGGTTCATGCCTGTGGCAGCCAGTTTTCTTCAATCCCTTCCCCACCCCATCCTCTTTCTGCTCAGCTCTTAGGCCTTTGCTTTATCAGGTTTTGTTCCATATAAAACACTTACCCAAGACAAGGCCTTCCCACACATGCGCCTCTTCCCTTCCCTCCAACGTGCTTATGCAATTCTGGGCTGTTGTAGTCTCTTAGAGCGTTTTGCTCCTGGTAGCTGTGCATCTCCAGCCCAGTGGGTCTTCCGGATGATCTTTGATTGTCATGTAGGTTTTATGATGGAACAAACTCCTAAGAGAGAGCTGAGGATGTCTAGGGACTGGGTTGTTATTCGAAGTGCAGGAAAAATAGGCCACCAAGTCTGTGTAGGAGACCCCATTAGCTGTGCTGCCCTGTTAAGTATAGCCTAAGGGGCTGTCATCATTGTAGCTTCCAGGGGGGAAAATGTCAACTTTGTTAGTTCTGATTCTCTTTCCTGCCAATCATTTTTGTTTAAAACCCTTTAAAAAAATCTTAATTTTGTTAATTATTTTCTTCTAGGGAGTTTTGTCTGTTTTGTTCAGACAAATTGGGATATAACTTTAAAAAGTTTTTTTTCCCCCTGATGAAGTTTTGATGAGGAACCCACTGAGATAATTTGGATAGATGCTTGTTATTAATAAAATACTTCGATATAGGCTGGATGTTAAAAATAGGAATGATATAGTTAAAGTGAATTCTTATTCAGTCTTGTTAGTGACTGTCTAGAATAGAATCCACAGTTTCAAGTGCTCGTTCTCTTTTTGTATAATTTAGCTTGTGAAATGGGTGAATTGCAACAAAAGACCTTTTGTTCAGACACTTTGACCTTCTGTCTTTCACTGACCTTATTTTTTGCATCTTAATTTATCTGAATTTACCTTAGAAGGAAGCAGACTTGTTGCAGATATTCATAAATGTTTATTTAGAATTTTCAGTGGGTTGTCAAAAAACACCATAAGGAGAATTATTGAGGGAAATTGACACTGAGAGGATGGAAAGGGGGAGATAAAGAGGGGGGAAAAGTTTAGAAAAGGCTGTGTTGAAGAGAGGCAGCCTTCTTTATTCCCAGCTATGAGGAGTGGGAGTGGTAATGGGAAGTAGGGAAAGGAAGTGGTTTATTTTTCTCATGAATACCGTCTGTGAGGTGCATAAAAAGAGCATTTTGGTGATTTTGGGGGGAGAGAGTCAAGCGTTTGGGCCAAACCTTAGAGCAAAGGAAGATGAAGAGCTTTGAAAGGGAGGAGGCTTGTGGTAAATGGGTTGCCCTAGGCTTTTTGAGTTTTCCTTATTGGTCATCTTGTACTGTGATGCATATTGCTGGAAACTGTTCTTGTTATGTTGCTTAGCTAATTAGGAGGAATAAGCTCTCACTTTAGAAAATTAAAAGGACTGGTTATCTTCAAATTCTCATGTATTAAGACTGTATGTTCCTTGCCATTTAACCAGATTCAATCTGGTGATGAATCTCTCCAACGATGCTCTCCTAAGTGTTTGCTAAATTTTTTAGATGTTGGTTTTCGCTTTGCTTCCTACATCGATAATTACATGGTGCTGCAGAAGGAGCCTGCAGGGGCAGTGATTTGGGGCTATGGAGTATCCGGAGCCACAGTGACAGTGACTCTGTGCCAAGATCAGGAAACCATCATGAAGAAAGTGACCAGTGTGAAAGGTAAGACAGGCCATCCTCCGCTCAGCTTTTGTCTTCTTCTGCCACCTGCTGGATGATCTGAAAATGAATCCTAATAGTCCAGCTCAGGTTATCCATCCATCCATCGATCCATCCATCGATCCATCCATAAAAGTTCTTTGAGTATTTACCATGTGCACTGAGGATACAAAGAAAAATAAGACCAAGTCAAAGTCCCTGTCCTCAAGGAGCTCATGGAATAATGGGAATAGACAGACACCAAGCCATGTAGTGCAGTGTGATAGGTGCTCTGGTGGAGGTGGATATGGGGTATCATGGGATACAGAAGAGAAACATCTAACTCAGATTGGATGGTAAGGGAAGGTTTCCACTGAAGGTGACATTTGAACTGAATCATATATAAAAGAGAGGTAGTATTGAGGAGGGGTTAAGAACCTAGGCTCTGGAATTCACCGTCCCCATTCAGACCCTGACTCTGTCGCTTAATGGCTATATAACCTTGAACATGTAATTTAACATCTCTGTGTCATAATTTCTTTATTTGTATAGCAGTGATAATAATAATATTTAGGATTATTGTGAGGGTTAAATGAATTAACATATCTAACGTACTTAAAACAGTGCCTGGCACACAATAAGTACTGAAGAAGTGTTAGCTGTTGTTATTTTTGTTACTATTATTATTATAATGTTTAGTCAGTCACTCAAATATTTACTGAGTGCCTACTGAGTGCCAGATACCGTGCCAGGTACTGGTTATGCAGTGATGAGCAAAGCAGATGTGGTCTCTCCCCTAATGAAGCTTATGGATTTGAGGAGAGACAGAAAAATAAGAAGCAGTTACAGTTAAGTGTAGTAAATGCCACAGTTGGGAAGTATAGAGTGCTATGGGAGTGCTTAAGAGGGAAAATTAACTTAGTCTAAGGCTTATTTTGAAAGGTGAGCAGGGC